TTCTAATCCAAACATCTGTGTTTCAGGTGGCATTTTTAGTAGGCATGTAGTAACACCTACTAGGGGTGAGTTCAGTTTCAGAGTAAAGAGTTGGGATATAGACAGCTCCAGCAGTGGCAGATTAGCTTTTTTAAAATAGGTATTATAGATTCGTGGATTTTTATAAATTTAACATGTTGAATTAGTTATAGTTACATTTTTGCAACATTTTATTATAAAAAAATGTTCAAACATACAGAAAAGGTGTCATAAATTTATGGTGAACACCTGTGTACATAACCTAGATTCTACCATTGACATTTGACCATACTTTCGTTTCCTACATCTGTCCACCCATCTATTCTGTTCATCCATCAGTCTGCTTTTTAAGTACATTTTATTTTTTAGAGCAGTTTTAGGTTTACAGAAAAATTGTGCAGGAAGTACAGAGGGTTACCATATACTCCCTGTCCCCGGCACTGTACAGTTTGAACCCACCAGCCACTCCATGGGAGAAAGATGTGGCAGTTCATTTCTGTAAAGATGACAGCATTGGAAACCCTGTGGGGCAGTTCTGTCCTATAGAGTCACTATGAGTCGTAATTAGATTCTACAGCAACATGGCCATAGGTTTTTTGGTTTTAATGTACATTTGTTGTGATTGATAAACCAGTATTGACACATTATTAGCCAAGGTTCATAGTTTACATTAGTGTTTACTCTTCGTGAATGCAGATGTAAATTATGGGTTTTAACAAATGGCGTCTGTCTGCCATATCATCACACAGAACAGTTTCACTGTCCCCAACATCTCCTGTGCTCCACCTGTTCATCCCTCGCCTGGTAACCATTGATCTTTTTACTGCCTATAATTTTACCTTTTTCAGAATGTCATTGTTTGAATCACACAGTATGTAGCCTTTACACGCTTTTATTTAATGATTAATTTCAAGGTAGCAGAAAGTTGCAGTTGTCTTTCTAAATCTGCTTCCCTCTGAATATTAACTGTTTTTGTTAGTTGCAGTCCTGTAGATTCCAACTCATGACAGTCCCATGTGTGCAGAGTAGAACTGTTACATAGGATTTTCAGTGGCTGATTTTACTAGGAAGCAGATTGGCAGTCCTGTGTTCCAAGGCACCTCTGAGCAGATTTGAACCGCCAACCTTTCAGCTGGTAGTCTAGTGCTTAAACATCTGTGCCACCCAGGGACCCCTAAATATTAACTAGAGTTCAATATCAGTTACAGTTCTTTTTTTCTTTTGAAGTAATGTACAAACCTTGAGTATGTTTTGATCACTGCGTATACCAAAACCACTATCAAAATGTAGACCATGGCCATCACCCCAGAAAGCTTCCTCGGGCCCATCCCAGGTGATCCCTGCCACTGTCCCCTAGAGGAAACCACTTCTGCCCTCATCATTGATTTTACCCGTTCTAGAACTTCCTGTAGGTGGAATCATTATTATTTTTGATACATTATCCCAATTTTGAGATACTGTCCCAAATATAGCCAGTGGAAATCTTCACAGGCTGGCTCCTGCATCCTTTAGACAAGCCTGCATTTGTCTTTGAGCACTTCCTTGCCTTCCCGTGCTGCAGTACAACTCAAGACTCACCTAGTATATTTTGTGTTTTAGGTGTAGAACCAAGCATTTCTCTGAGGAGCTCCTTTTAGTAGGTTTTAGACAGTATCAGTCCTTCAAAACTCTAGTAAAAAGTCTTAGCCACCTGGAACCTTGGTTGAACTTTTGTCGTAGTTACCTATTGCTTTACAAATACCACAGGTAGGTGTCTTTAAAGAATAGAAATTTGTTTTCTCATGGTTCTAAAGGCTACAAGTCCAAATCAGGGTTGATTCTTTTCTTGTTGTAGCACTGGGTGTTCTTGGCATGTAGATGATCCTCACATGGTGCCTGTCTTCCCTGTGTATGTCTCTTTACCTATTCTGGTCCTTGCATAGCTCAGAAGTGATTGGGTTTAGGATCCACCCTATACTGGTGTGGCCTCATTAATATAACAAAAGACACCCGTTTCCAAGTGGGATCACATCCACAGGTACAAGGACCAGGAATTCAACATGTATTTTTGGGGGACACAGTACTTAACAACTTTGTGTTATTTTAAAGTTTCTGCATTTGATATTTGCAGTGAAGGAGGAATTTGAGATGAAAGGGTTGATAATTATCTAAGAAAGCATTGGCTTATGGTACTGTGTTGGACTTGGAAGTGTCCATCACTGTCCTCAGCATCTAGCCTAGTGCCTGGCACAGAGGAGTTACATACTCGTTCAATAAATAAATACAGTTTTAAACACCAGTTTTCATTATCAGATTGATGAGATTGCAGCATAGATAGGGGCGAGACTGGTGGCTTTGTAACTCAGGACTTGCAGTAGTAGCTACAGCTGACTCCTCGCCATACAGCTCATAGTTAATTTCTTGTGCTACTCAGGAAACAGGCTGTGATTGCTGGTGGCCCTGGTTCTTGTTGGTTTAGAATTGGATTTCCTGAACTTTGTATAATGTTTAGAGTATCTTCCATGACTGTACTTCTGTAAATGCATTGGAAAAAAACTATTACGGACGTTTTCATAGATGCGCCAATGAATCCCAGTAAACCCATCACCCAGCCTTACATTTTGCAATCTTGTTTCATCCTTTTCCCTTCTGCACTCCCCCACCCCCACTGGAGTATTTTAGAGCAAATACCAGGCATGTACTTTCAGCTGTAACTACTTACACACGTATCTAAAAGATAGAAATGTCCTTTTAAAACACAACCGCAATATCATTTGCTCCTAACTGCCTGGATGATAATTCCTAATACAGGATGCACTTCTGCTTGCTTATCTCTTAGTAACTTAGCCCTCACTGCAGCCTGGTGACGTAGATCCTGTCGAAGTAGGGACTCTGAGGGTCTGGTATTTCCGCTGTGTTCTTTTATAGGTTAACTCATTTAACTTTCACAGTCCCCCTGCAAAATAGAAGGGCTTCTTCCACATTGAAAAGGAACCTCCAAGGAAACTTGTCCAAGGCTACACTGCTAGTGGCTTGGTGAGCAAGGTTTCAGACCCAGAACCACTCGGGGAAGACAGCACCTGAGCCCAGGGACTGGTTTTCCACCTCTGTGCACTCCTTTGTTCCCTCCACTCCCAGGAAACCTCTGACCTTAGCCTGCCTATTGCCTGGCTCTGCAGGGGAGTCACCTCTGTTCCATAAGTTTTTTTTTTTAATAAATTTTTTCCCATACAAGAATTTATACATACGTTGTTATGTGACTCTAATTGCTCTCCCCATACTGTGACAGCACACTCCGTCTTTCCACCCCTGATTCCGTGTCCATTCAGCCAGCTTCTAACCCTCTCTGCCTTGCCATCTCACCTCCGGACAGAAGCTGCCCATTTAGTCTTTCTTATCTACTTGAGCTAAAAGGCACACTTCTCATGAATATTGCTTTAGGTCCCACAGTCCAGTCCAATCCTTGTCTGAAGAGTTGGCCTCAGAAGTTGTTTTAGTTCTGGGCTGATAGAGAATCCAGGGGCCATGCTTTCCAGGATACCATTCCGTAAGTTTTAAAGATCAACTTTGGAACCTTTAAATTTGCAACTAAAATGTTACATAGTCCTGAAGCATTGTGGAAAATTTTTGTTTTGGCCAGTCATGTTAGAGCTTATCCTTGAAGCATATACCTCTCCAGTTTTGAGCCTGCTGCACTGGCTCTTAAAGTTTATATTGAAGGGGCTAGCTCTGATATGGAGTGATTGGATTCATCTGTTGAATGTTTTGCTATTTTTTTTTTTCTCATTTACTCATTTGGAAGATCTCAGTATAGACCAGACTGTTTGCACAGAGTGGGAATTGAGTAGGTTGTAGTCATCATGTTGTTTTGAGACCAAAATTGTAATTATAGGCCGTCTCGGTGGGTTACGAATGAACATCCGACTTTCATACAGCCTGTAGTTATGAACCAACCCCCGAAAAGCCTATTATATTAAAAATTCGAGGTACATACAATGGTTTGTAATAACAAATCAAGCGATGTGACACGCATCTAGAACTTTTATTATTAGTGTATTGTTATGTTAAAGATGTTTTAGTATATCTGAAAGTGTTTCTGTAATGTATTTATGCATGGAGAGGTACACTATATACTACACAGAAAAGACAAACATTTGACTGACATTAGATACAAACCATACGTAAATGATCCGATTTATGTATAAATTTGATTTGAAGACACTTAGAAACCTGACTTGTTCGCAATCTGGGGACTGCCTGTATAGCTGTGACTGTGTTGAAGACTTCTGTTGTGCACTTTAGTTGTCTCAGCCTCTCCATAGTTGAATCCAAAGATGTATCCAGTTGATGTCTTGGATTAACTTATGAAAAGGTTCTTTTTCCATTTTACAGAAGCCTTTTTCAGAGGTCTGTCTTCTGTCTTCCTTCAGTTTCTTCTTTACCCTCAAGGCCAGAGCTCCTGCCCTCTTTTTTCTTTATCCAGACACCAAGATTTTATTTTTTTATTGTACGTTCGATGAAGGTTTACAGAGCAGTTAAGTTTCTTATTAAACAGTTAATGCACATATTGTTTTGTGACATTGGTTGCCTACCCCATGGCATGTCAGCACTTCCCGTTCTCAACCTTGGATTCCTCGTTACCAGCTTTCCTTTCCCCTCCTGCCTTCTCGTCCTTGCCCCTGAGCTGGTGTGCCCATTTACTCTTGTTTTGTTTTATGGGCTTGTCTAATCTTTGGCTGAAGGTTGACCCTCAGGAGTGACTTCAGTAGTGAGTTAAAAGGGTGTCCGGGGGCCATACTCTTGGGGTTTCTGCAGCCTCTGTCAGACCAAAAGGCTGGTCTTTTTTTGTGACTTAGAATTTTGTTCTATGTTTTTCTCCAGCTCTGTCCAGGATCCTCTTGTGATGCCTGTCAGAGCAGTTGATGGTGGTGGCCGGGCACCATCTAGTTGTGCTGGACTTAGTCTGGTGGAGGCTGTGATAGTTGTGGTCCATTAGCTGTTTGGACTAATCTTTCCCTTGTCTTTGGTTTTCTTCATTCTCAACTTGCTTCATTACAGGTTGGGACCAGTGGAGTACCTTAGATGGCCACTTACTGGACACCAAGATTTTGATGAACACTTTTAGCTATATCAGTTTTTAGAGACTTGTTAATATCTTTATTTTTGTGTTTGTAAAAATTGACTTTTTATGTAAAGAAATAATAAAACTATGGAAAAAAATATAAAAACTGTGTGTGGCCTGAAGTGAGAGCTGCCTTCTCAAAACTCACTGTTTTCATTTTAAGAGAACTTTATAATTAGTAGTTTACTGACTTGGCTTAGCGGTCGTTACTTGGAAATAAAGATGTGTCTTGCTGTGTTATAGGGCACCTTCATGTGGCAACACTGGTGTCATTCATACTGTTGGATATCTGGCTGCTAAAATTAATCGGTCTATGAAATATTTGAAACTAAAAAGATTTTCTGATCTTATAGATAGTTGAAGTTGTTGATAACACCAAGGAAATCTGTCACAATTTGAAAAGATAAGCAAAAATTTGGTTTCCAGACACTACAGAAAAAGAAGTAAAAATGGTAAGAAAACTTTTTTTTTTTTTAATCACAGATGCTATTTCTTCACAGAGATGCTTGTGGACTTTTTGAGTTGTAAAATAGGTATAGTAAAAACTCTTTAAGTCAGTCTCCCATTTGTGTAAGAGTGCTTTTAAAACTGAGGTGTTTGGCATTACTAAAGTGGCTGACACAGGTCTAAATCAAATTCCCGTTTGCCCTAGATCCCTGTATGTGCATACACCCCCTTCTGGTGAACAACTTTTTGGTTATACTTGAGACTGTGATAAAAATGTTCCGTCTTTAGAAAGAATGCTTATAGGTGATGTCTAGCAAAGTTGTGGTTTATGGTTAAGCAAGTGATAAAAGTGTTCCAGGAAGAGAATGATGAGAATGTTGTCCAAAAAGACACTTGTGTAAGAGCGCTCTCAGAAAATTGCCTATGCATTTTGCCCCCAGAAAGTCTGTGATAGAAAATAAATTAACTAAGGTTATGAATTTTATTTGTGACTCGTGTCACTTTCATTCAGCCTTCGTATGTAAAAATCCCTTTCTCCTTTCAGACTTTGGAACACGTTGCACCTTCACTTTTGTGTTCCTCAACTCGAGGTCCCCACTGGAGTTGCTGTCCCTTCAATAAACCTCTTTCTCTTTAACTCCTAACAGAGTGCTAGAGTTTCTTCTTTGACATATCTGGTGTCAGATGCGGGATTTCGAAGGTGCATTGCCTTCAGCGACCCCCGAGGAATCGAGGCTGCACGAACTCTCGGGCGTCGTCGCAAGGTAAATAACCTTTCAAATCCGAGCTCCGCTCCTTTGCGTTGAAGCTCTTTGAGTTTTATTGAAGGATTTGTTTTTTCTCCTTGAAAGTAAGTTTTGACTATTATTGGGAAAATGGGAAATGCCTGTTCCAGGAGTGCATCAGAACCACCCTCTTTGACTCCTGTTCATTATATGAACAAGCATTTTTGTCCCTTAACATGCTTGTTTTTATTTGGCATACTACCGAGAATAATTTGGAAAGTCAGTTTGTCCACTTCGGGGTTCTTTTGAACTTTGTAAATTAGTGGGTTTCTTTTGTTTTTTTTGTTTTTTGGTCTATGCAGTAAATTAGAGAATAAAGGCTCCCGAATCAAACAATCCCAGTGGGATGCCTATTTGGATTGGTATTTAGAAGTGTCTAAGAGACATCAGGATATAATAATTGCTTTTCTGCAGAATACTGTTCTTAAATTAACTAAGCAAAGCAAAGAATTACAATGCCAGAATCCTGCATTTGCCCCTTTGCTGGCTGTTTCTTCTTTGTACCCTTCTTTAACCATCTATTCTTGCTGACAGTACTTTGTTTAAACTTCTTTTCTGTATTAGAAACCAACAGAGAAACCTGTGTCTAAAATGCCCTTTAAAATCTTAGTATGGAAGCTGAGGAGCGTTTTGGTATTACTTTTGTGGCCTAGACACTCTCAGAGCTGCATAGCGTTACGAAAGATTTTCCAAAGCTACCGGAAGATGCTTACAAGTTTACTGAGAAATTAAAAATTCTTACACAAGTTTATCAGCCTGGGTTCCCAGATTTGTTTCAACTGGTCCATATGATAACTGGACCTAAAGAAGCTCAGCTACGGTTAGAACATGCTAAATCAGAAAACTCCCCCAGAGGCGGTGAACATTCCACTGCAGGAGTCCCGTTTTAGAATAGCAGTAGCAAGGTAAGGTATTGGCAGAAGCCCGGAAGGACAGAAACCTGGTGATGGCGAGTTGATACCTGAAAAGCCAAAAAAGGGAAGAAAGAAAATGGAACGAACTCACAGAACAGTGTGGTTCTGGTTATTAAAACTGAGAATACTCAAAAAAAATGTGGTAATACCCTTATAGCAGACCTCTGTCAACACTGTGGGGCAGACGGAGGACCCTCTAATTTAAAAATAAAAGATCTGATTCGACCATAAAGAAAGATGGGACTAAGAAAATTATATACTCTTGTATAACAGCTTTCTGAGTCCCCAGCACTGAGAACTCCCAGTGCAAAGCAAGAGAAACAAAGTAAAATGCCCCTCAAGACAGGCTTGTGTTGAGCAGCTTTGAAAAGATCTTAGAGGCCCCCTCTGAAATGTCCTGATAACTGTCCCTGCCAAGATAACTAAGTAACAACATAGTCATAGCTGGAATGGTTAAGGAGAAATAGGAAAACTAAGGGGAACTGCCTCCATGTTACCAGGCAACTAGGCTATTTTATTCAAGATTTAGGAGCTATTAATCTCATTGTTACTCCTAGATTCTAATAGTACTAAACCGTCATTTATTACTTTCTAATATCCCTTTGTATGCTACTCATTTTACAGTTGATCTTTGCAGCCCTTTTTTTTTTTTCAAGTGTTCCTGTGAATCCTGAAAACTAATATTGTTTGCTTTCACCTAGGAAAATCAACAATTTACCTGGATTGTAATGCCCCAGGGACTACTGAATCTACCACTTATTTTTCACATATTCTCCATACAGATTTACAGCCTTTGGAGTTTATAAGTAAATCCAAATTGCTACAATATTATAATTTGTTAATATGTCCAACCTCCAGAAGGCTTGCATTAATGATAATGTAATTTTTTTACGGCATTTAGCTGCTGGTGGACATAAAATTTCCAAAGATAAGTTACAGTTATCCCCGTTTTCTGTCAAATATTTGGGCCATATAATCTCTGCAGAAAGTATCAACCCTAAAAAAAGAAAATTTTTTTGCTTTCACTACTCCTAGAACAAAGAAACTGCTACAAGAGTTTTTAGAGCTTTGTGACTATTATTCCTAATTTATCTTCGTTGGCCCAATACTTACAAAAACATTTAAAGGCCTCTAAACCAGAATCATTCCAAATTTCACCAGAAGATCAAGAGGCTGTAAATAAATTAAAAGGGCCTTAACAGTAATACCTGCTCTAGGTTTTCGCAGTTATCACCTTGATTTTTCTATAAAATGTCTAGAAATGCTTTAAGCGTATTGACTCAAAAACATAAAAACAAAGATGTGTAGACTCTTAACAGCCTGTTGCTTGACCCTGTAACTAAAAGATAGCCTCCTTGTCTCCAGGCTGTAGCTGCTGTAGCCAAATTAGTAGAAAAACCACCTTAAGAACTAATTTGAAAGTTTTAGCATGGCCTGAAAAGCAAGACAGTAGGCAAAATGACTAGTACAATACAATTTTTTTTAAGAGAAAAAGAGTAGTTTTGTCTTAAAATAAAATGTTTAGTTGTGCCAGAATATAAAAGATAGTAAAAGTTAAACTTGAAGGGTATATTGTAAGTTATAAAAGGCTTGAGAAAGAGTTAACTTTACCTGCTTTGGTTTATGATACATGCAAATAATGAATTTTAAATGAAATATTTTGAAAATTCTATATTGAATGAATTTTAATATATTTATTGATAAGATTTAAAAAAAGACATGAATATTTTACTGCTAAATGTTACAGAAATGATTTTCTTTTCTGTTAAAATAGCAATGAGATCATAGTCTAAAAGGGGATAAGTAGAATAGATCAAAAGCCTTACATCATGATAGATTTATAACAGTGAACAGTTCAAGTAAATGTCAACTACTATGTAAAATATGTTTGGCCCATAAAAATATCTATTAGGAAAGACATCAGTTTAAAAAAACGCTTTATAGCCTTGCTGAAAGGGGCCAAACCTAATTCTCCTCACTAGTTTGTGTGCTGCCAAACAAAAGAGTCAAGCCTTAGATTCATTTGTCACAGCTAAAAAGGGCTAAGACACATGTATAGACTTGTCAACCCTTGGGAGAACTGGAAGTCACCTGTAAGCACTCTTGTGGCCAGAAGCAGATGCCATCTGAGGTACATAGCTAATCCCAAGATCACAGATCAAAATCCTATACGTGTTGTTAAAATGTATAGGCTTTATTTAGTGGTTATAGCTGTTTTTATATTAATAGCCTTATTGTATATCTGTGGTCTTATTTCTTGGTAATTCTGTTTAATACACAAACCCGTTTTAGCGTTTTTCTTCTCTGTTTAATCATTTTCTGCCATGCTTAGAGAATGCATTTATTAAAGTGGCTCAATGGGTAGCTAACATGGGTAATTTGACTAAATGTTAGATCTGCTATCCCTCTCCACAAACTGTACATGAAAATTTTTGCTAAGGCTATGTTAGGTAATGAAATAGCTGTTGACTTCTTTCTAGCCCAACAAGAGGAATATGCGCCATTACTAATATCTCTTGCTGTGTTTAAATAAATGCCACAAAAGAACTAAAGCAAGATATCCTGAAAATATTTGTTCGATATTCCTTATGCCTGATACTTCTTTTCTTAATATTTTTAGCTGATTACGTGATAATATTGGTTCTTGGTTGCATTCTTTATTACGGAGGGGATTGATTATCTTGATTATTATTATAATCTTTAGAGTAATCAAATGTTATATAAGTTGTTTTTTTGACATTTGTAGTCAAGTTACAGCTTTCCGAGCAATGCATAAATTACATACCTTAAAGAAACCAAGTTTGCAGGAAACCCGATTTACACCTTGAGTTAGTCTTTAAAAAAATGCCAGGTTATTCTTCCAAATGTGGCCTTGCTCTACACATGCCCTAACCAGAGGATTACAGAAGCAGAATATTTGAGCTGTGGCATGATAGAGTGATAAAAAATTTGAGTTACAAAATAATCACATGAGCAGTCCGTACAGAAAAAAATATTCTTATAATAGTGAAGGAATCTGTATGGAGATTCAGGATCAGAACGGGGAAATATGTAACAGCACTTTAAAACTGAGGTGTTTGGCATGACTGAAGTGGCTGACACAGGTCTAAATCAGATTCCCCTTTACCTAGATCCCTGCTTCTGCTTTCAGAATACGTGCACATACTCCTTTCTGGTGAATAACTATTTATTGTGATAAAAATGTTCTGTTTCTAGACAGAATACTCACAGCTGATTTATAACAAAGTTGTGGTTTCTGGGTAAGCAAGTGATAAAAGTGTTCCAGGAAGAGAATGTTCCCCAAAAAGATGTTTTTTTGAAACCGTTGTCAGTAACTTACGCAGTTTGCCCCCAGAAAGTCTGTGATAGAAAGTGGATTAACTAACATAAAATGTTTACTTGTGACTCATGTATAATCCCCAGCCCTCATATATAAAAATTCCTCTCTTCTTTCAGACTTTGGAGCACGTTGCATTTTTGCTTTGTGTTTGCCAACTCAAGGTCCCCGTTGGAGTTGCCGTCCCCTCAAAAAACCTCTTTCTCTTTAACTCCTGACAGAGTGCGAGAGTTTCTTTTTTTACGCATTCCTCCCACTGCCCAGAGAGAACAGCTGTTAAGTTTGGTTGTCTAACTCCTCAGATCTTTAGTCTTCTTCATATAGTCTTATTTTTTTTTTACAGAAAGTATAGCATAATTCTGAGTTGTGCAGCTTATAAGTGGTGGATTACTTGGTTTCTAAGCTTTTTTTAACTCAGTTTTCACATTTCAGCGTCCGGTGCGAATTTTTGTGAATGATGATCGCCATGTGATGGCAAAACATTCTTCTGTTTATCCAACCCAAGAGGAACTGGAAGCTGTTCAGAACATGGTGTCCCACACTGAGCGAGCTCTCAAAGCTGTGTCGGACTGGATAGATGAACAGGAGAAAGGAAGCAGTGAGAATGCCGAGTCCGAGAACATGGATGTGCCCCCAGAAGACGAGACCAAAGAAGGGGCCGGGTAAGTTTGAAGGTTTGTGCATCTCCTTTCTGAGAGACAGCCACCTTTCCTGGGGCCTCTTCAGGCTGGACTGAACCATCCTGTGCTGTGTGCTTTTGTCCCCCAGAGAACAGAAGACAGAGCACATGACCAGGACCCTGCGGGGTGTGATGCGTGTTGGCCTCGTGGCGAAGGGCCTCCTGCTCAAGGGGGACTTGGATCTGGAGCTGGTGCTGTTATGTAAGGAGAAGCCCACCACTGCTCTCCTGGATAAGGTGGCTGACAACCTGGCCATCCAGCTTGCTGTGAGTGTAACCACCTCCATTAGGTAGGGGGGAGGTGTGCTTGTCAAGGATGTGGGGCAGAGGAAGAAATGCCCAGCCCGTGCCCTGCACCAGCTGTGCTTATACCTCACGTTAGGTGATGGACAGAAGTGCAGTGGAGCCACTGAGGTTCTGGAGTGGGTGGCTGACTGGCTGCAGTAGCACCCAACTGCTCTGCCAGTCAGTAATGACCCGTGTTTGCCATGTGCCAGGCTGCACTCTTCTAGGGCTGCCCAAGAGTGAGCTCGTTTGGCCTGAATTCACATCCAGACTCCAGTTGATAGTACGATGATTAACTCTTCCTTCCTGATCCAAACCTGGACGTAAAATTTTTTTTAAAAAAACCAGCTTATTTCTTTTATTACAAAAGTATTACACAGTAATAAACCGTTTGCTGTCAAGTCAGTTCCGACTCATGGTGACCCCACGTGTGTGAGAGTAGATCTGTGCTCCATAGGGTTTTCAGTGGCTGAGTTTTCAGAACTAGATAGCCAGGCCCTTCTTTCGATGTGCCTTTGGGTGGACTTGAGCCTCTACAATTTATTGAGCATTTACTATGCTAGGTTCTAGGCCAAACATGCTGTTTACATATATCATTCATTCTTTTAACAATTCTCTGATATACGAGTTTTAGTATCTTAAGTATTATGGGTGATGTGACTGAGGTGCAGGGAAACTGAGTAATTGATCCCAGGGGCCCTGGTTGGTGTGTTCTGAGGCTTCAGAATCTTTGCAAATCACAGCTACACACTTACTTCTCAGGACAGGTTCATCTGAGATTAAGTTGAAGAATAAGCAAAAGAAAAAGGTAAAAAAAAATAGCTATAAATTTTCATTCCATAGAGAGCCACTATTAGCTTTTATTCTTTATATAAATTGTGCGTTCTGTCACATGTATAGTAGGTAATTTTGAGGAGCTATTTAAGGTGAAGCCCTGAAATATTTTTTTAGTGGTTAATTTAAGAATTTATTTTATCCTTGACTATGAAAAGTATATGAATTAAAGAAAAACAGGTTGGTCTGAAAGTTTTTAAAGGAGGGACAACTTTTAATTTAGATCAGTGGTTTCTAACTTTGGCAATTTCGCCCTCAGGACATTTGGCAAAGTTGAGACATTTTTGCTTGTCTCATTAGGGTCTACTGCCATCTAGTGGGTAGAGGCCAGAGATATTGGTAAACATCCTACAGTGCACAAATAGCCCCCACCACAAAGAAGTATCTAGCCCAGAGTGTCAGTACTGAGGTTGGGAAACACTAATTTAGATTTTCAGAAGTGTGTTTGTCATTCTTCTGTACCCCAGTGCCATACTTACTTTGTTTCCCCTAGAAAAATGATAAATGTTTGAATTTTCTTTGTCAAGTTGTATGGACTGGTATAAAGAAGAAAGCAAACATCAGACTGTTGTGAACATCCTTCTAGAAGTGCATTCGCAGCAAATACGTTTTTTAAAAGTATAGTAAAAATACACATAACATTATTTGTCAATGCAACAATTTTTGCATGTATAGTTCAGTGACATTCATCGTGTTGTGCAACCATTACCACGACCCTTTGCTTAGTTGTTTCACCACCATTAATGAATACAGTCTTTTATATCCATCATATTATATAAACTATTTTGTACCACTGTTTCTATTCCACACGCTGGTGGCTGCTCATCCCAGCGTGGAAATACCACTGGCTGCATGCTTACTCTGTGGTGGGCACTGTGTTTCCCACACTGTCCTATTTAATCTTCCTACAGTCTCTGGTGTAGGTTCTGTCACTAAGCCTATTTCACAAACTAGAAACGTCAGGCTTCGTGAGATTAAGTGATTTGTCCAAAGTAAGACATCTATCAAGTGACCAGACAAGGATTCAAATGCAGTCTCCTTCTCCCAGAGCCTAAACTCTTAACCACAGTAGTATAAAGCTCCCTGTGGAAATCACTTCTCTGTGTGTAGTGTACTCCTATCTGGAGTACCCAGAAAATGGCTGAACCTCCAGGCCAGCAAGAGGGAGGTTCTGACAGCCTAGATGGAGGCCCTCTCTCACGCCATACCCTGAGAGGTGGCTGATCTGCTGTAGTATAGTAACTGGCAAATCTAAATTGAACTGTTGTTTGGCTTGAAGAGAAAGTACTTCTGAAAGTTGCATTTTCTCTTTTAGGCTGTTACAGAAGACAAGTATGAAATACTCCAATCTGTCGATGATGCTGCGATTGTAATAAAAAACACAAAAGAGCCTCCATTGTCCCTGACCATCCACCTGACATCCCCTGTTGTCAGAGAAGAAATGGAGAAAGTACTAGCTGGAGGTAGGGAGGCTAAGACGGGCCAGCAGGGCTCTGGAAACTTGGTGTTTGCTCACTATTCAAACGTGCTATTCAGTTTTAGACTGCCTTGATAAAAGGCTGTTGGTGTAGATTTGAACACCTTTACTCTGAAATCATCTCTCCCATTTGGTTTGAGTACTTGGGAGTTTGACAGCACAGTTGCCCTAAAAGTGAGTAGCACTTTTTATAGGGGATTGCAGCACATACTGTGTTTGTTTTAATCCTTGAATGTTCTCGTAAGTGTTACACTTGTTTTTCTGTTGAGCCATTCTCTGGCCTTGGAAAAGTGTGTCCCTGGTGTTCTTATGGTTTTTAAAATATTGAAGATAACTGGATAGTTCTGCATGAACATCATCATAGTAGAGTTGTGCAAACAGCTCGTGTTGCTGCAGAACTGAGGGTTTCTCCAGTTGTTCTCTTCGGTGGCTGCTTTTATCAGCACCAGGGATTAAAATGCAAAGAGCTGATACAGAGTTTTGGATAAAGTTCTTAAAAATTTTGCCATTTCCAGACTAAATCTGTGAACCTGGAAGACTGATAATGCTTTCACAATTGAAAATCCACCTGGGCCCCTCATGTGTCTCTTCTGTGTGGATTTTTTTTTCTCTGACGTCTCACATGTAAAGTAACGGTAACAGGCTTTATCTAAATCCTTGATGAAAAGATGGCAGAAAAGGCAGATGCTTTGGTTCTGTAGCAGCACGGGCTGACTGCTTCCTTCTTGCTGTTCTGTTGATTCCCGGTGATTCTGGCACCTGATTGCAACTACAAAGCCCTTGTAGCTTATCAACTTAGGGACTCTGGACCTTTGACCAACAGGACTCTCTCTGTCAAGGGCTGGGGGCTAGGGCAGTCGAGCCTGTGGGCGGAGGTGGCCCCTTTGCTGCAAATACCTGAGGGTATGGCTGTGGTAGGAAGCAGAGGAGGAGTTTCTTTCCACTCCCCACTACCAATTTTTTTTTTTTTCTATTGACGTTTTTAGCCCAGCTAATTTATTGGGATAATGTGGGGAGGAAGCAAGGTCACAGTGTATCAGAAGATAGGTTTCACCTATCTGTTCTCTCCCCAATGGGATTATTCCTTTTAGAATAACTTCCCACTTTTGTTTTTGTTTTTTTTTCTTTTTTTTTGGACGAGGCCACAAATTTTTAAGATTTCCTCTTGGGAGAGTTGAATGCACTCTAGCTTCTTCTTCCCTGGTCAAGGGTGGAGATGAACTCTTTAGGAGCCGCAGCTGCCCTTTAGGAAACTGCCATATCCCCTTCCCACCTGACAGAAACCCCTTGGTCAAACTGTACCTTGTCTTCTTATTCCATCCATGAATAGAAACGCTATCAGTCAACGATCCCCCGGACGTTCTGGACAGGCAGAAATGCCTTGCTGCCTTGGCGTCCCTTCGACACGCCAAGTGGTTCCAGGTTTGCATTTTGTTCTTCTATTTGTCTTTCGGTAGAGAATTCCTAAGTTTTAACGTGGCTGACTTTCACCATAAAGTTTAAGATTGAAGATAGCTGTGCCGAACTTAGCACCTGCGACTGTGCAGTTGCTACAGGAGCACACGTACGTAAATTTGATGTCCCCAAAGGAAGCTTGTAACTGTGCAGGCGGGTTGCTGCTGCTGCTGTGTTAAGAGTAATCTTATTCTTGGGCATGTGGTGAGATCACTACTCACCACACACTTGAAATGGTCATGAAACATGGACCATTTACCCTTGACAGAGTAGCACCGTGAGACTTCTGTTTTTCACGTTTGCCTTGTGTTCAGGGAGGTGCCTGTGTGTAAAAAGCCTGTGCTTTGTTACTCTAGGCCAGAGCCAATGGGCTGAAGTCCTGTGTCATTGTCATCCGGGTTCTGAGAGACCTGTGCACCCGCGTGCCCACCTGGGGTCCCCTCAGAGGATGGGTAAGGGTACCTTCTAGCTCTTGCCACCATGGGTCATTTGCCAACACAGAGGCCCCACCCCAGACCTTCCATATCCCAGGACTACTTTATAGTAACTGGGCAGGCAGTGGACCCATTGGGATGTGGTGAGTGGTCCTCATCAGAGTTGCTTGTTGAGCAGTTACTGTGTGGCACTCCCTGGGCAGGGACCCTCCATGGAGGATGCCCAGCTCAGTCTGCGGGAGGCTGGCCAGGCAGCACATCTCAGTACTATGTGGTCCACTCTAGAAAGAGGATGCTTTATGTAGATGCTCTTGGATAGGGGTCAGCAAAGTATGGCCCCCGGGCCAGTGCTGGCCACCCGAGTGTATTTTTACAGTCCCCAGCTAAGAATGGTTTTTGTATTTTTAAATGGTTACATATGAAATACAAGTACTTACATTATATACTCCATTTTGCCTCCTCCCCACCCAAAGCCTAAAATATTTAGCATCTGACTCTTTAAGGCCAGGTTTACTGATCCCTGCTCTAGGTGTTCTGCCTTGCCCCTAGTGAAAGCTCCTCAGTCTTGGTTGACCCTCTCTGCCAGGTGTGGCTAACAGGCTCTCTTGCCTTTCAGCCTCTTGAGCTTCTCTGTGAGAAATCCATCGGCACGGCCAACAGACCCATGGGTGCTGGTGAGGCCCTCCGAAGAGTGCTGGAGTGCCTGGCGTCGGGAATCGTGATGCCAGGTTGGGGCCTTCTGCTTTGCCAGTTGCAGGGAAATGACAGGATTGAGGCCCTGAGGCCGGTTCTTCACTGGTCCACTGACTGGGTTAGGGCAGCAGCAGCTCCGTGTCCACCCCCTAGGGCTGAAGCATGTGACTACCCTCTTGCACCATCATATCCAGCCCTGTGCCGGGTCCGCAGTTGTGATTTAGAGGGCGGATCCGGGGGCAGTGGTGACCCACTCCCACGTGACTTTCTTGCTCTGAGACACATGTGGATTATTTCTCTCAAGGGCTGGACGCCGAGTGGGTCACCTAGCTCGGCGTGTTTTCCAGAGCTGGGTGTGGATGGGGCGTGGGAGGGGGTAACGCACCTGATTCCCTCAGCCAGCACAACTCTTCAGAGATGCTAAAGGATAATCCTCTGCATATCTTCCTTGTTTCCTGCCTTCAGATGGTTCTGGCATTTATGACCCTTGTGAAAAAGAAGCCACTGATGCTATTGGGCATCTAGACAGACAGCAACGGGAAGATATCACACAGAGTGCGCAGGTATAGTCATCGCCATTGCAAACGTGAGCCCTTACCCAGTCTTTAATCACTGGCTTCCAGTTCCGTTACTGGGTATTCTCAGGGTAGCCACTGGATGCGTAGGTTCAGATCGGGGACCGAAGGCAAAGGGATCATGTCTGATACAGGGCGCCCCAATCTGGGCTGCTTCTTTCCCCGGGCGCCATGCGTGGTTGTCGTCTGCCCCCTCAGTCTGCTCGAGTGCTGTTTTCAAACACCGAGTTCGGCGAGGAGATGTTTGCTGTGTGGACTGCTCTAGGGGTCCTTCCCCTGCAGGCCCACCACGTGGCTCCGTGTGGCAACTAGTCCCCAGGTTGGGGTCTCCTGTATTCCTCTCAAGGGGGGTGGTCACAGGCTGGCCTTCCACCACAGCAAGGCTGGGCCCTAGCAGTCAGGCTCTCCCTGGCTGTTGAGGGACCCCTTGCTGTTGTAGGGGAGACCACTAGCAACCCCCTCAGCTCCTGCCCCTTCTCAGAAGGCATTAGTGAGCACATACCACTTGGCGGTGAGTGCAGGGCAGCTGAGTCAGTCTCCTCTTCCCCTTCTCCAGCACGCACTGCGACTTGCTGCTTTTGGCCAGCTCCATAAAGTCCTGGGTATGGACCCTCTGCCTTCTAAGATGCCCAAGAAACCAAAGAATGAAAACCCAGTGGACTACACCGGTAAGCAAGCAGCAACTTCCACGGGTGCGTCCCGTCGTTTAGGCTCCTGGCAGAGCAGAAGACCCAGATTTCTCAGCCACTCTGTCTTAATCTGCTCTTTCAGTTCAAATCCCTCCCAGTACCACCTATGCCATTACACCCATGAAACGCCCAATGGAGGAAGATGGGGAAGAGAAGTCTCCCAGCAAGAAGAAGAAGAAGATTCAGAAGAAAGGTACACTGACTTTATTGGTAGCCTGTATTTTATTGCCCGTCTGGCTCTGATTACAGTGCACCCTTACGTGCTGAGGCTGCTTTTGTTTCGTTTTGGGAGCATAATGTTCAAGTCCTTTAAAGAAATGCTAAATGTAAGGTGGGTGCAGAACACAAGTGGTATGGTTGGGCCTTAGCTAGTGACCACAAGGCTGGAAAAAGTGCAGGCCAGGCCTAGGGGTGTGTCCAGAGACTCCACTGTGTCATGTGACAAAAAGCAATCAAGAGTGACCTTTCTCCCTGATTGAGAATTGATCAAGTCCTCTCTGTGGCAGAGATCTGTTGACGTGCTTGCTTAGAATAATCTTGGTGTTTTCTTGTGTAGAAGAGAAGGCAGAGCCTCCCCAAGCTATGAATGCTTTGATGAGATTGAACCAGCTGAAACCCGGGCTGCAGTACAAACTGGTTTCCCAGACCGGGCCAGTCCACGCCCCCATTTTCACAATGTCTGTCGAGGTAGACGGGAATTCATTCGAGGCCTCGGGGCCATCCAAAAAGACCGCCAAGCTGCATGTGGCTGTTAAGGTAAGTGTGGCCAGGGGCAGTGTGGGCTGGTCTTCCTGGATGCAAACCCGTTTCTTCATCTTCGGATTCGTCAGAACCTTCATCCAGTATTTGAGGCCCAGGTGCGGACAGCAGGAGTTTTAGGAAGGGCGTGCAGACTGAAATGGTTAGATGTTTGAGCATTTGCCAGATCACACATGGCTAGGGGTCTTTGTTACTGAAGGTGAAAGCAGAGGTGCCACAAACCTGGCTGTGCATCAGTATGTCCTGGGAGTTAAAAAGGCAGAGACCCTCCAGATTGCCGGGCTCCACTGCTGGAGCTACTGATTCCAGGGACTGAGGGAGCTGTGGGGATAGAGGTGTGCCTGTCAGAACCCAAGTAGGTGACCAGGCAGTCCTGACACGGACAGTGAGCCCTCCCTCACCGGGCCCTGGGGGCCTCCCCTTCTCTGCAGGTGTTACAGGACATGGGCTTGCCGACAGGCGCTGAAGGCAGGGACTCGAGCAAGGGGGAGGACTCAGCCGAGGAGACAGAAGCGAAGCCAGCGGTGGTGGCCCCTCCCCCCGTGGTGGAAGCTGTCTCCACCCCCAGTGCTGCCTTCCCTGCAGATTCCACCGCTGAGGTGAGCACGGGGTGGGTGCTGGGAATGACTGACAAAGGACTCAGAAGGCGGCCCTGTGGCCTGTGAGCCCAGAGAGTTACTGGTCCTTTTTAGTTTGCACAAAAAGAGTAGGTCTCTGAGCCACAGCATAGAGGGCCTTCCTAATGTTGACCCAGCATCCAGGGCTCCCTGCGGTGGTCCATGTCAGCAGTGTGCCGTTCCCCAGAGAGTGCAGGTGGTGGTAGTCCTGTTCCTGGGAGTCTCCTCAGATGGTTTGGGAGAGACTTGGGGGCAAAGGACAGCAGGGTCAGTGGCACTAGGGCCTTAGCTTTGGACCAGGAGGAGAGTGGAATTGCTATTCCTTCAGCTTGTGCCTGGAAAGCCTGTAGCTAAGTTTGTTGGTTTTCCTTTTTGTTTCCCCTGAGAACGTAAAACAGCAAGGGCCGATCCTAACCAAGCATGGCAAGAACCCTGTCATGGAACTGAATGAAAAGAGGCGCGGCCTCAAGTACGAACTCATCTCAGAGACAGGGGGGAGCCATGACAAGCGCTTCGTCATGGAGGTGAGTGAGTGTGCAAATGGGAGGTGGTCTCTGGGTCAAGGTCCCCTGCCCCTGGAGAAGGGGCATGTGTGATCTCCTGACATCTTCTTTCCAGGTGGAGGTGGATGGGCAGAAGTTTCAAGGTGCTGGATCAAACAAAAAGGTTGCAAAGGCATATGCTGCCCTCGCTGCACTAGAAAAGCTTTTCCCTGATGCCCCTCTTGCCCTTGATGCAAACAAAAAGAAGAGAGCCCCAGTACCCGTCCGAGGGGGACCTAAATTTGCTGCTAAGGTATGTAGTTGCACTTGCCGCCTCTGGCCTTGGCAGGAATTTCCCCAGGGTTTTGAGGACAGAGTTAACGTAACTTGTTCTTGTTTCCTCTAGCCACATAACCCTGGGTTTGGAATGGGAAGCCCCATGCACAATGAAGTGCCCCCGCCCCCAAACCTTCGTGGTCGGGGAAGAGGAGGGAACATCCGTGGACGAGGGCGAGGCAGAGGATTCGGCGGTGCCAACCACGGAGGCTACATGAATGCTGGTGAGGCCCTTGTCCTGTGTTCTTTGTGTGCCTAGTTTGCATGTGACATCAAGCTCCGTGCTCCCTTGAGCGTGTTCAGTTCCTGGGGTCAGGCAGAGATGCAAAGAGGGGCAGGGCAGACCCGTATCCTGTCCCCGTAACCTTGTTCTGTTCTCTTCCAGGAGCTGGGTATGGAAGCTATGGATACGGAGGCAACTTGGCAACAGCAGGCTACAGTAAGTGTATATTTTTTTGTCTTGAGCTTGGGAAGAAGCTGCAGCTTAGCTCCTGGGCTTGAGTTAGAGCAGGGTTGCCCACCATCAGCAGCCTCCCTGAGACTTAGCAGGGGCACGTGCGTTTTTGTTTTTGTTTTTTTTGGTGATTAGGTTAGACTGTCCTCAGGTCCCCTTACCCTGCAAACATGTAATATATTCTTTAAATGTTAACACGCAAATTTGTGTGACTTCAAAGTTCCTTAAAAATCAGAATTTTAAATTTCTCTGCTTTAAGCCATGCGAAGCACCAATCCTGTGAATATTACTTTTCCTGACAGTGCACAGCTCTTGTCTTGAGAAGGAGCCTTCATTGGGGGGTTACAGAGGCAGAGAAATCTAAAACATGAATTTCAAATGTGGCGCTCTGTGCCATTTTTCAAAAGAATTCTAATTTTTTTTCTCTGCTCTGTCTCCCCCTTTTGTAGGTGACTTTTTCACAGACTGCTACGGCTATCATGATTTTGGGTCTTCCTAGAGCATCTAAAAGTATTGCACACAAAATCAACTTTTTACTCCACTTTTCTCGAACTCCAAAACCCAAAGTGTCCGTGCTGTGTCCCTGTGCTTCACTGGGTTTCTCAACCGTGGCTTTTCACCGCAGCTTGTCTGAAACTCTTAGCCTGCAGAATTTAAGACAATGGCAGTTTTTATCGTGATTTGCCTTTGAACTTGGTCATATTGAAGTTCACAATAAGTGGAAACACTTTTCAGAGAATGTATTTTTGTGCAGACTTGCACAGAATTCTAGAGCCAGCGTTGTTCCGCATCAAGGCAAAAGCCCACCTTTGCTTTTTATGGAAAGCATTACTTTATTTAAGAGACAGATAATGAAGCATTTTAATCTACCTTTGTCTTAATTTACAGCAGGTTTTGTATGAATTTTTAACCTTTTAACAAATTCCCAAATCTGGTTGATGCCTTTGACAGTAATGAAAACACATCTGAACCCAGAGTAACCGGCTTTTATTTTATAAGCATGTAAAATGTTGGGAACGTTTGGGGAGCTGTAAATTGTGCTAAGTTAACCTCCCGCCTTTTGTAAATGCTCTGGTGGGTTATTGTCTGGGGATGCGATATTTTGTGGCTGGTTTAGCTAGAGAGTGAACTTGAACTCTCAAAGGTATCAAAACTGTGCTTCCATTATTAGTGCAAGAAACAGACAGGCTATAAGGAGTAGAGAACGTGAAATTTTGCAAGTCCCAATCATAGCTGCAATTACATGGGATTCTGGATTTTTCTTTTTTAAATGGGGCTTTGAAAACTATTAATCAAGCAGAAAGAGCCTAGTATGCAGCCTCCTTCCCCAGTGAGGAGCCAGCCCACAGTGGGGCTGTGTTGCTGGGCACGCAGCCAGCCTGAGAGCGCCTGTAGTCTCTCTCATCTCTGTGTGCAGAGGAACACCAACGGACTCTACTGAGATCCTGTGTCCTGGCGGGAGTCCTTTTTGGGAACTCGTAAGAGTTTGGATCTGGTCTGCAGTTCTTTTTGCAACAAAGTCTGCCTCTGCGTTGACTTGCGAGATTTTGCGTTTGTTCAGGCAAAAACTGGTCAAAATGGTTACTACATAATTTGTTTCCAGGGGTTTGAAACATTCAGTGAAACTTTTTAAAAATTTTCTTGCATGATGTATTTTTTTTTTTTTTAGAAAGTTATTGTTTGAGAATAATGTCTTTTGATACCAGGAAATAGTTATCCTGAATGACGTTGAAAACTTCCCTACCCTTTATTTTTTTTTTAATCAATACATGTTAAAAGTAACAAGCCCTCGATACTTGGTGTCTTCATTCATGTGCTTCAGGAGGGGGTGGTGGAGCCACCTGCTCAGCCGTGGGGCCTAGTGTGGGACACTGGGGCAGTGGAGGTCGAGGGGACTCAGGGTGACTCTGAAGAGGACCTTCCTGTCCTCTAGTCTCCTCACTGAGCCTTCGCATGGTGCTTTCTTGCATTGTGGAATATGGCCTTCTCCTTGGTGGTTTGGCTTTGGGATGGGGGTCGGGCTGCCGGAAGAAAACAAACTGAAGTCTGCTGACCAGTTCTATCCAAATTCCCGTTCAAATCGTCCAAGACACCAGTGTGGAGTACACGTCTCCAGTGGGTAGAGGCCTGTGAGGACTCCAAAGGCCTGGCACACTTGGTGCTGAACAGGGGAAGGAAGGACCGGCTGTGTGGGAGCATCTCCTCGCCCTTCTGCCCATCTGGGCACAATAGGGCAGGCTGGGGGCCAGCAGCACCCGGCCAGCCCTGGCCATCTGGGCAGAGCCGGCGCCAACTGGCGAAGGTGGCTGTGTGCTCAGGCCACCAGCTTCTGGGAGCCCAGCAGCTCCGCTGCATCTGTTTTGGCCTGGGGATTGCCCGACTCGGGTGGAGGGCCACCCACACTGCCCGTCCTCCCCTTTTCCAGCCTCTTCTACTCTCTGAGCCTTCCCACCCCTGCTGAGAGACTGCTGGTGGAGGGCTCCCTGGTAAGGCTTCCACTGAAGTGTGGCTTGAGCTGACCCCCTCCTCCCCCCAAACAACCCAAGTCCCTGGTGGGGACAGTGTGTTGACAAATGTGTCCTGGGGTTTCATACCTGGTGACCAGAAGGGGAGCTCTTCACCGTGGCATTCTCAGCTTCAGGGCCTGAGAATGTGGCGGCCTTGCTGCACGCTTGTCAGTCCTGCTGCTTGGTCGTGCCCATGCCCAGCAGCTGTGCTGGGAACAAGGAAGAAGGGCCTCTGGGCGGTCTCCATGGTGGCTGCAGCTCAGGCCGCGTCCTGGACATTCTGTTTCCAACCTTACCCAGTCTCCCTTCCCCCTGAGGTTTGGAATCCTCCTTTGAGTCATGTGTGATATCGGAGACATCACAGGTCATTTGACCAAGTCTCGGTTTGTTCTTCCCAGAACCAGGTCAGACCAGTTGGTCTTCTAAGAACGGTGTTGTGTTTGGAGCCTCGTTAAAGAGCATCTCCAGGGTTATCGTCCAAGCCTGTGACTGCTGAGCCTTTTCCCAGCACAGTGGGGGGAGGTGGGGCGGCCAGCTGCTGCTCGGGGCTTTGCTTTTCCTGTCACCGTTGGGGACATCTGGGTAGCAGCTAGTCATGAATGTCATGCAGCACTCGGATTCCATCTCACTTTAATGTTGACATCCGCTGCAAATGCTGCTGCCGGCGTGCTGCCTGCCGCTGCTTGACACAGATCCAGTGTTGTCGGCCGCTGATGGGTGAGTGGAGCTGAAGGCTGGGCCAGCCCAACCAGGCTGCTGTGACGAGTGGAGCTGCCGCTCTTATCTCCTTCCTCTTTCCCTTTGCCTCGGCCCCGGGCAGCCACCTGCAGATGGAGCAAGTGGGGCTCCCGACTCTGTCCCCGGCCTGGGCAGGTGCTTGTGGGTCAGCCTTCAGGGCCCACAGCCGCGAGTTTTCTTTTCTTTCCCCTCCCCCTGCCCTTTTTTATGCTACGCCTGACCCGCTGCCTTCCTGTTTAGGTCAGTTCTACAGCAACGGAGGGCATTCTGGGAATGCTGGTGGTGGCGGCGGCGGGGGCGGTGGTGGCTCTTCTGGCTACAGTTCCTACTACCAAGGTGACGACTACAACTCACCAGTGCCCCCGAAACACGCAGGGAAGAAGCAGCCGCACGGGGGCCAGCAGAAGCCCTCCTATGGCTCTGGCTACCAATCCCACCAAGGCCAACAGCAGTCCTACAACCAGAGCCAGTACAGCAACTACGGCCCCCCCCAGGGCAAACAGAAAGGCTACAATCATGGACAAGGCAACTACTCCTCCTACTCAAACTCCTACAACTCCCCCGGGGGCGGGGGTGGATCAGACTACAACTACGAGAGCAAATTCAGTGAGTTGGCTTCCAGTGCCCCTCGGCCTGGCCAGGGCTCCGGGGCCCAGCGGCACATCCCGTGGAGTGGCGGACACCCAGCACTGCCCAGACCTGGCGGAGGGACTAGAAGGAGGACAGGCGGTGCTGGCTGCAGGGCGGGTGTTGAGAAAATCCAGGGGGCAGAATCCCCATGGCCCAAGTCTCTGTCGTTCCCTCCCCGTTGCACTCTCCGAAGGCAGGTGTAGGTAAGGCCTCTGTCCTGATGTCCCGGAGGCCATGGGTTGAGGCTGGGGCAGAAGGGTGGACTTTGCCAGTTCAGGCTGGACGGTTGCAAGGTGACCTCCTGAGCTTGGCTCTCCAGAGTGTTGCATCTAGTCCCTAAAAGCCTGAGTGGTTTCCTCAGTGGGCTAGAATGTTCTTCCCTGCTAGTGTTCCCCAGCTGCACATCTCCCTCCACTTTATGCACAGGTCCCGCAGGCAAGGACTGTGCTGGTGGCCTGGCTGGGAAGAGCTGGTGTGCATTTGGTCTTGCTCATGGAACAGCAGGCAGCAGTGAGGCTGGAGACTTTAAAGATGCTGTACTGTGTGTGGGGGGAGGGGAGGGGAGGGGGCTGAAGAGGAGAGGGGCTGGCCGTGCCATTCCTGAGCGGCTTGGAAGTTTGGGTTGGAGGTGGAGGTGGGAAGGCAGGATAGAACTCTGTTACTGAATTTGGTGACAGTCTGACCCAGGGTGAGGTAATCTGCAGGGCTCTGGCTGCCCACTGCACTTGGTCCTTGGGATGGCCTGTGCGCAATTTAAGCAGTCAGGACAGGGAGATCTGAAAAGATAGGGTCTCTGCCATGGGCCTGACAAGTCCAGCAGTGCACCACAGAGGCCCCCAACCTTGCCCAGCGGAGTCCTTCCCGAGGCCCTTTAACCACACTGTCTTCTCTCCCCCAGACTACAGTGGTAGTGGAGGCCGAAGCGGCGGGAGCAGCTACGGCTCAGGCGGGTCGTCCTACAACCCAGGGTCACATGGGGGCTACGGCGGAGGTTCTGGGGGCGGCTCCTCATACCAAGGCAAACAAGGTGGGCCTGGAGCGGCAGGTGGCACAGCACGGGGGGGCGTCAGCTCAGAGCCAGCTGGGGCAGCGCATTTGCTGTGATGAGGGTTGTGGGCCTGGTGTGAGCAGAGTGCCAAGTGGGCGGGGTTGTAGCGGCAGCTACCACTCGGCTTCCATGTGAGGTGCCAGTAGGGAGTGATGGGGCTGTACGGGGTGCACTGGCTCCTTCAGATGGACCCTGCAAAGACCCTGGCTTAGCCATACCAGCTTCTCAGGCTTGTCAGGTGAAGCCGGAAATCCAGACTTTGCTCTTGAAATTGCCCTACTTTCACTATCGGCACCTGTTTGAAGAAATGTTGACAGCACTGTGAGGCCACAGCGTCTGATGTGTGACCAAGGGTTTAGCCTTGTCAGGGACCCAAGTTACAGCTCCCGCTGCAGTCGAGTCTGTGAGTAGGCAAGTCATCAGCCCCCCTACCCCAAACCAGGGTCACACTGGTCCTGCTCTGAGGGTGATGGTGAGAGCTGATGATGTGTGAGGGGCACTGGGTAGAGCTGCTGGCCAGGACCACACTCGCTGGTGTTGGCTGGTGTCCTGAGCCCTGATGCCCAGGCAGTCCTGTCCCTTGCCTCTAACCCACACCTCTCTCTCTTAGGCTACTCGTCACAGTCGAACTACAACTCCCCCGGGTCCGGCCAGAACTACAGCGGCCCCCCCAGCTCCTACCAGTCATCACAGGGCGGCTATGGCAGAAACGCAGACCACAGCATGAACTACCAGTACAGATAAACCCCCTCCCAGTGGGGTGAAGAATTGTACCGTCCTTACACCCCATCGGAAGATTCAGTTTTTTGCATCACAGTTAACATGTCAACCAGCCCTTCTAGGCCCTCTCGCCTTCCCCCTCCCTGGTTCCACGTTGCCGTGTTGTGAGGTGCAGCTGGTCATTCCCGTGACCCGTCCTGTGACCCATATTTAGCCGTGTTTGGGACTCCGTGTCTTCAATGGTTTGTTAGTTACCATCACAACTTTGTCCGAGTAGAGTTTTTGAGTTCTTGCAGTTAAGTATTCCTCTGTCTATTTACAATTGGTGTTAGTGTTAACTCAGTTTGTCTTTAAATAGTTACAGAAGGGATACAACATCTGTTAATGCTTTTGTGAAGTGAGTTAAATGAGCTTTCTGTATTTTAATGCTTCAGTGTTTCAGTTTTATAAGTGAAGATTTTATTTTAAAAACCAGTGGGAAGGAGTGGGGTTTTTTTTTGTATGTTTGGATCATTCAGGCAGTAAATCTGAATTAAGCTGAATGTAGACAAATAAAAGAAAACTCTATGCCCGTCGTAGGCCTGGGCATCTGACCCGCTGGCAGCGTCATGGGCAGAGTCCTTGGCTTCGTCCCGCCCAAGGGAAGGCGGGCTGCGGGGGTGTTGGGACAGCAGCTAGTCCCTGGTCAGGAGACAGGGTTTGCCTACAGGCGTCTCTATGCCTTTAGTCTAAGGCTGGGAAGGGCCAGCACCTCAGTATAGGGGCTCCCCGTCAGCCCAGGCAGGCCCAGAAGGAACTGTGGTCTTCTGGACTCCGTGTTCCAGCTTGTGCCGCAGCTCTCCCCTACCAGTGGTCTGGCGGTTGAAGTCTGATCACAAAATTCAGGCACATACTGTTTTCTGCTCTGTGAATCCCCTTGTGGTTTCACATGCAATTGTCACGTCACCGTAGAGTAAAAGTTCCTCATAGGCTTGGTACTTCGGTGGTAGGTGTAGCCTGACTTGAGAAGGGCAGATTGAGTCTGGCTCAAGCCCTGCAGGATCTGGGCAACACTAACATGGATCTGTCTGTGCTGCAGCCACAGCCTTGTCTCCGCAGGGCTGTCCTAACCAGAGGGTCACGCTGGGGCATGCCCAGCCCTGTGCTAGTGGTTCTCAACCTGGGCAGTTTTGCTCCCCAGAGGACAGTTTGCAATGTTTGGGGGACATTTGTCACAGCTAAGCAGTGTTCCTGGCATCTGGAGAATAGATGATCCTGCAGATCTCTGCACAGAAGAACCCCCACCGCAAAGAACCTTCTGTGTCAAAATGTTGACAGTGTGGAGGAGGAAAAGTCCTAGCCTGGAGCAGTGCTCTTCAACTCAGTCTGCCTTGTAGACGGAGGTGGCAGTGGCTCTTGGATTGGCCTTCACCCAGGCCTGGGACTACACCTTTGTACCCTGGGCCGCCCTTTAGGGTCTCTTCCCAGCTTGCCAGCTGCCTGTGGCCTCAGTCACCTCTACGTCTTCTCAGACCAGGCGCCATTCTGGGCCCAGTGGCCTAGGCCACCCCCTGGCCTCATGTTTGGTTAACCATGGCCATCAGAAGTAAGGACCATTTTTTCTCGGGATCGTTCAGCTGATGGAGAAAATCAGATGTGCCTTCAAAGGATGAAATTGGTCTTCTTGGAGAGGTGAAAGGAAGAATTCTGCGCTAAAGGAAAATTGGAGGAGTTCTGCTAGACCAGAGGAGGCCCCAGATGCCTAAGGGCCCTGCACGGGACAAGACAGGAGCTGTGCAGAACTGACAGGCGGTCCACAGCATTCAAGTCAGCCTGAAGCCTCCTGCGATCTCTGGGCCTTTGATGGAAAGTGTCCATTACCCATTTCCTCTCCCAGACATGTCCAGGGGCTGGGACAAGAAGAGGCCCCCCCCCCCGGAGGAGAGAATGGGTACCTTGTGTTTGAGACAAAAGGATACAGGAGGGAACCGAGTCACTCAGCAACCTGGGGAGCAGCACCCTGCCCCGCCTGCTAAATACCTTCAAACTGGACAAGCGCTGGTATTCTCAACGTTGGCATCCCGTATAGTCCGTTTCCTAAGCAGTGACTACCACCAGCCCCTTCTGAATGCAGAGACACAGGAACAGAGTGGGAGAGGCTGTCCCTTCAGTCTTGACCTGGAGACAAGTCCTCAGGGTGCCTGGACTTGGCAGTGGAGTCTTCTGTCCTGGGTGGCTTGTCCCACTGAGCAGACTGCCTGTCTGAGTCCACGGGCCTGGCCCACATCTCTCTGAGGGCCAAGAAGAGTTTTATCAACCTGAAAGAGGATGTTCAGGCATTGGGCAGTATGAGAGGAAGCAGGTCACAGCCCCGAACCAGGAGTACATGAGCACGATTGTAAACAGCAATCTGTCCTCTTGAGTTCTGGAGGCCTTCTAGTCCGAAATCAAACCATTGGCCAGGCTGGTTCCTTCTGGAGTTGCTGAGGGAAAATCCATTCTCTGCTTCTGGTGGCTGTGGGCAACCCTTGGTGTTCCTTGACTTGCAGCTGCATCACTCCAGTCTGCTGGTTTTCACGTGACCTTCCACCTGTGTGTTTCTGTGTCTCAATTTCTAAGAATGACATCTTAATTAAATCTTCAAAGACCCTATGTCCAAATAAGGTCACATTCATGGGTACTAAGGGTTAAGGATAGGCTGTATCTTTGGAGTACACTATTCAGCCCACTACGGGGTGGGGCGGGGGTTTCTTCACTGGGGTGATGGCACCCGTGATGCAGCTGCCTAGCGGCAGCATGCCAGCCCTCAGGTCCTGCCACCCAGGACTTGGGTTCAGAGAGAAGGCTTTGGCACTGGGGTGCTCCACCCATTTGAGGCTGATGAGTGCCTTCCCAAGCCAGTTGCCTTTCATGTGCTTCATCAGTGAGCTGGTCAGAAGGGGTACTCGGGCGGGTAGGCCGTGAGGTCATCAGTGACCAGGGACACGGCACATTTGGAAGGAAGAAGGGGAAGGACCCCACATCTGAGGGAACACACTAGGATCCTGGTGGTTCTGGGTTAGTGTTGGTGGCCACCCATCTGCCTGTCTGCTCTCCCCACTGGTAGGGAAACATTCTCCCTCAGACCACTGGCCGTTCTTGTGTAGTCTGCAGTGCTTGCTCTGCCCCGAAGGACTCATGTTGACTGGGCACCCAGCCTGGCCCTCCGTGTCCGTTCTCCAGGTGAGAGCGCTGGACTGCCCTGCCTTTGCAGTTCCCTCCTGAGGCTACTAGTAGACAAAATTCCAGACAATTACGCAGCTGTTCTTGGGAGCATGCACGCCCATTCTAACCCATTCCAAATAAAATGGAGACTTTTTTGTTTCATTCACTTAGCATGTGTTCATTGGGTGGTGCAGTTAATTCACTGACTGGTTGGAGGTTTGAGTCCACCCAGAGGTGCCTTAGAAGAAAGGCCTAATGACCTACTTCTGAAACCGTATGGAGCATAGATCTCTGACACACAGGAGGTAGTCATGAGTTGCAGGTTGACTTACCAGCATTTTTTTTTTTTAATGTACCAGGCCCTGTGCTGTCTGCCAGGAATATGACAGTGAACCTCCTTCCTGATGTCATGGAGCTTCCAGCTCAAGGACCTCTGGGCACTAAGAAGCCCCTGTACCATTTATGGCAGGAAGTGTCAGGAAAGGCTTCCCATGTCTCACGTGCCAGGCAGAGAGAATAGCAAGCGCAGAATTTGAGAGTTAGGGGAGGAGAAGCATGGATTTTGAGGAACTGAGGTGGCTTAACTGTTGACAAATGCAAAGGGGAAGAGTGATGAGAAGTGTGGCTGGTCAGCGGAGGCCACCCAATGCACGGTGTTGATAGCCTGCAGAGGAGTTCTAACCTTCATCCTGAGGGCAGGGGGATCCCCCTGGCAGATTTCTGCTTCAGAACAATCCCTTTGGCTGTTGGGAGGAGAAGAGGTGTGTCTGAGGAGGGGGGAGATAGAGCCAGCAAGGGGGGGGCTTGAGTTCTGGAACTGCTGTTTTCAATTTCAGTTAAGTGTCGGACTCCACCCAACCTGGTAAAGGAGCAGCTCCCAGACTAGCAAGTGGGTAAAACTGCATGGCCCAGAGGGAACCAGCATCTCTCCAGAAGCTGGCACCCAGGCTCGGCATGCTTGGCACCTGGCCTGTGAGGCAGTGAGATCACAGGGACATCATTACAGCTCCTCCATCCCCGGCTGGGTAAGCCACAGAAAATGCCCTCCAGGTTCCTGGGACCCTAATTTAAAAGAGGTGTTCAACACCCGACTCTCCCAGGGGCTCTGGGTTCCCCGCTCTGTGTCCAGGAGTCCACCTCCTGCCTGTCAGGGCCCCAAGACCTCCGCGCCCTTATCTAAGTCCAACCTCTGTTACCCTTGAGTCAGTCCTGACTCATAGCAACCTTACATGACAGAGTAGAGTCGTCCCATAGGGTTTTTAAGACTGTAAGTCTTTATGGAAGCTCACAGCCATGTCTTTTCCTGCTGAGCGGCAGCTGGGTTCAAACTAGACCTTTCCGGTTAGCAGCCAGAAGCTTAACCCCTGCGCCACCAGAGCGCCTTGCCAACCGTCTGGCACCCGGTTTTCGTGGCTCCCCTGGGCAGTCTCGGGGACCCTAGGAGAGGATTGGAATAATCAGAACCCGAATGCTAGCCGCACATCTGGGATCCTGTGCAGGCCTCCACGTGAGGCGCTTTGAAACCGCCCACCTCCCCCACTGCAGACATCGGCGCTTCGGAGCATCTCACCGCACCTTCCCCGTCTCTTGCGCCCAGCCCGCAGTCTCCGCCCCCAAGGCCACCGCCGGGTAAATTTGGCCCACGTGGTCACTGCACTCCGCTCAGAGGACGCTTTGGCAGGCTGGGCCGCCTTGGGCGGCCGTTTCCCCGTCTCCAGGCAACGCTTGGCGCTGTCCACGGTGCTGAAGCCGCATCTCCCTGCTGCCGCCGGCTCCGGGCTCTCCCAGCCCTCTCAGCCATTGTTCTCCAGTTGCCCACCATGCCTTTCGCCGCCTCCTAGACGCTCCCGCCGCTTGTCGCAGGCGGGCTTTTTGCCTAAGCTGGTGCCATTGAGCGTCCGCTGGGTCTCCACCCGTCAGCTGACCACTTGGTGATAGAGCTCACGTCCCTCTACCTCCGCTAAGAAGCCGCTGCCCTTCATCTGGCTTAGAGGAAAGCCAAAGTCCTCGCCGCGGCCCACAGGTTCTCGCACGACCTCGCGCTGTCGCCGCCCTCTTGACCCCTCTCCCTCCAGCCACACAGACCTACCCGTTGCACTGGCAGAGATCCAGGCACATTGTCGCCTCAGCCTTTGCTCTTAGTGTTCTCACTGCCTGGAAAGCTCTCCCTCATCTCCTTCAGGCCTTAAATCTCAACTTCTTAGTGAGACCTGACCCCTACTCTTCTTAAAATAGTCGCTTCCCAACCTCTTCTCCCCGTCCCTGTGCTCTTTATTCCAGAGCACTTATGGCCACCTGACACATCGTATGTATTACTTACCTTGTTCACTGCTGTGTCATCTGCGGCAGGCACAGTGCCTGGCACTGGGTGGGTGCTCCATCAATGTTTGTTGAATGTATATTCGTGCATATAATTGGGCCCTGTGTATCTCCACAATGACCCCATCCCATTTTAAAGATGAGGAAACTGAGGCTTAAAGAGTGGCAGTCACCTGTCCAAATTCACCTGGTTTCTGAGTGGCAGAGCCTGAATCTACTTTCAGGTTTCTCATCCCTGCTCTGTGCTGCCTTGTCCTTCAGTTAGGAGGGCTGTTCCTTCATTCCTGGCAGTCCCTGGTTGGTACAGTTAACATGCTCAGTTACAATCAAAAGGTTGGAGCTTCAAGACTGCCCAGAGGTGCCTCAGAGGAAAGGCTTAGTGACCTCCTTCAAAAAAATCAGCCATAGGAAACCCTATTGAGCACAGTTTTACTCTGACACATATGGGGTCGCCATGAGTAGGAGTTGACAGCCACTGGTTTTCAGATCGTGTTTTTAACAAGTCACTTGTAAAAAAGGCATTTTAAAGACATACTTAAACATGAACTAGGTATTAGAAGGTATTCTTATTTGTTTTAGTGGTGATAATGGTATTGTGGTAATGTAAAAAAAGTGTTTATCATTTAAAGATACATACTGAAGTATTTATGAAGAGATAATACAATGTCTTGGATTTGTTTTAAAATATTAGAAACAGGTGGTGAATGAAATAAGGTTGGCCATGTGTTGGTAATTATTGAAGCTGGGTCGTGGGCACAAAGGATTCATTATGCAGTTATCACATGTTTAGACAGCATGTGATAGAGAAAGTCAGGTGGCATAGAGATCTCCTGGAGGGGCAGGGGGGCTACATAGCGGGAATACTATCCTAACGCCCACCCCAGAAGTGGACAAGTGAAGAAACCTCTGTTGTAATGACTGAGCACAGAGACTGTAGCTGACTCTACAAACCTCCCCATGGCTGGACTCTAGAAGTAACTAGATTTGCTTCCACCTATGAATTTTCCTGCATGTAGCTTTAGCTGCAGCTCGTAAGTTTTGAATTGGAGTGATCTTATTTTCACCAATCTGTAACACAGATGTAGCTGCCTCCAACCCAGGCCCCCAGTGGATTCCATCCCAAGGGCCTATTTCTTCTGAACACTGTCTTGATTCCAAATGTGATTGGCAGAGCTGGCCAATGTACCTGCTGCCTGGTTGCAGAGAAGGTTAGGAACATATCGGGCATGGGCACTGTCATGGATTGAATTGTTTCCCCTCAAAATATGTGTCAACTTGTCTAGGCCTTGATTCTCAGTATTGTGTGATTGTCCACCATTTTGTCATCTGATGTGATTTTCCTATGTGTTGTAAATCCTACCTCTATGATGTTAATGAGATGGGATTATCAGCAGTTATGTTAATGAGGCAGGACTCAATCTACAAGATTAGGTTGAGTCTTAAGTCAGTCTCTTTTGAGATAGAGAAGTGAGCAGAGAGACATAGGGACCTCATACAACCAAGAAACAAAAGCCAGGAGAATAGCAAAACCTTTAGACCCAGAGTCCCTGCACTGAGAAGCTTCTCAACTGGGAAAGACTGATGACAAAGACCTTCCCCTAGAACTGACAGAGAGAAAGACAGCCTTCCTATGGAGCTGGCGCCCTGAATTCAGACTTCTAGTCTCCCAGACTGTGAGAGAATAAATTTCGCTTTGTTAAAGCCACCCACCTGTGGTATTTCTGTTGTAGCAGCACAAGATGACTAAGACAAGCATCTTATGTCAAAAGAGGCAGCTTCAGCCCATTCAATATTCCCTAGACACAGGGAGGGGGGGTCAGATACTGGGTGGCCAAAAAAGGCAGGGAATATAGCAGCTTCACAACAGCAAATCTGGATGAACTTTAATCCAATCAGCCATTAATCCAATCATGGTGATGGCCCTCCAGAGTCCAGAGAATCTCCCTGAAACACACCTGAAGCTTCAGGTACCCCAGAATTCTGAGAAGGTCAGAGCTCCGTGGGGAGAGTGTCCTGTAAAGGACAAAGACTCTCCAATTGGTTAAAATAATGGGATACAGTTTGAAACTTAAACCACTGAGACTCACTCAACCATGGCCAATAAAGTATTAGTTAACCTAACATAACGATGTATAAAACAATATACCATGACCAAGTTGGGTTTATCTCAGGAATGGAAATAACCTTTAGAAAATAAGTCTATGCAATTCGGAAAATATATTAAACAAGACAAATACACAGTTATCCTAACAGATATAGAAAAAGTGTTAGACAACATTTATTCATGGTAAAAGTCTGTTAGTGAACTACAAATTGAAGGGATTTTTTTTTTACTTAACATAGCGCACCTTCAGAAACTTTACAGGGGACATCATAATGGTGAAATGTTAAAAGCATTTCCTTTAAAATTCCTTAAAAAATGTATTGTAGGGAGTAAAGGACAGAAACTGGAGACCAGTGAAGAAGCTAAGGCAATAGTCCATGTAAGAGATGCTGGTGACAAGACTAGGATGAGGGCTATGAAGGGGATGTGAAGTGGTTGATTCTGGATAGATTTCGGAAGTGGAGCCACCAGGACTGGCTGACAGATCTCAGATGTAGGGAGTGAGAGACAGTGAGAGGTCAAGGACCATCCTGAAGTTTCTGGTCTGAGCTCCTGGAAGGACTGAGCTGCTGTTACTGAGAACGGGAAGATGGAGGCAGTGGGTAACCTTGGGGAGACAATCAAGAGCTCTGCTTTGGACATGCTTATGCTGGAAGCCTGTGGGATACCCAGTGGAGATGTCAGGGAGGCAAGAGAGAAAACTGTGCTGAGAATTAAAATTTGTGTATGTATGAATGTGTAGAGATTTTTAAAAGCATATTATCAGTTACAGGTGATGTTATATAGAGTGATGGGTGTGGAGGGTTCTTTTTTTATTGTTTTTATTGTTTCCCATACAAAAATTTATATATACATTGTTATGTGACTTCACCACTCAGCTAAAAGAGTGTCCCGGGGCGATACTCTCGGAGTTTCTCCAGTCTGTCAGGCCAGTAAATCTGGTCTTCTTTATTTTTTTGTGAGTTAGAATTTTGTTCTACATCCTTTTCCAGCTCTGTCCAGGACCCTCTATTGTGATCCCAGTCAGAGCAGTCAGTGGTGGTAGCCGGGCACCATCTGGCTGTACTGGACTCAGTCTGGTGGATGCCATGGTAGCTGTGGTCCATTACTCCTTTGGACTAATCTTTTCCTTGTATCCTGTTCTCTTCATTCTACCTTGCTCCCAAAGGCGTGAGACCAGTGGAGTATCTTAGATGGCTGCTCACAGGCTTTTAAGACCCCAGACGCTACTCAACCAAGGTAGAATGTAGAACATTGTCTTTCTAAACTGTTGTATCAGTTGAGCTAGATGTTCCCTGAGACCATGGTCCCCACAGCCCTGTGCC